GTCAACAGTGACAGCGTCTTTTGCTATTGCTTCTGCAATTGTTGATTGATTGAATGTATGTATGTTATTTTAAATCCGATTCGAGAATATTACAATAGCAGTTTGTCCGTATGTTTTGTACTACATGGGGACTCGATCAAGAACGACTTCACTAAGAAAACAACCATTTCGTTTCTATACTCAAAATCTGGTAATTTTCTAAAAGTTTTTTTTCTTCCATATTCATGTAAAGTCTCTTAAGATGTTATAACACCATCTAAATCAAACTGAACTGCTCTCTGGTGCACCGTAACGTCATTAAACGTCACCATTTTTCGTCTGTTGTGTTTACAACTTTCCCATTTCAAATGCTCGGGACATGGGCGTAGCAACACTTTTTTCCCAACCTTACTTATACTATAGGAAATCTTAATTGAAAACCTTGTTGGCCCCCTCACTTTTAGTGATGTACCGGAAATGTAGCATTAGGATTGGTACTGAAAGTGTAACAGACACTGAGAAAAAGAGAAAAAGTTAACCTACACCCCCCCCCCCCCCCACGAAATAGGATTTTCGACTTTCGGCAACTTTTCCCTTTTTTTTTTTTGCATGTCACTTTTTTCAGGTAAGTAAAAAAAAATTTCTCTGGCTGGCCCCCCACTTTCAAAAACGATGCTACGCCACTGCGGGAAACTGCCAAAAATTAATCAAATGCCTTTAAAATTTTAACAGGACTACAAAACAAATTGTGGAATCGAATAAGGATAATTTTTACCCCAACCTTTTCTATTTAATTCTTTTATTTAGAATCAATACTCATGTTTTCTTTAATAAAACCATCGTTTTTTAACCTGCACCGTAGGACACTTACCCTGTGCACATTCAGGCATAATAAAATCTTAATTTTTGTCTATATTGAATCAAAAAATTATGATGTACTTCAATATGATATATAAATATTTACTGAAAAATTCAGCTGAGTGTGCCTTTCATTTTTCGAGAAAAACGCTTTGTCCACGATTTTACCGGACAACCCTCGTAGATATATCGACGACGTATTGTCAATCAATTAACAAAGTTAACTTTCATTCTGATGTCGATACCATATATCCTGGTGAGCTTGATATAAAAGATACCACAGAGTCTGACACAACTGTTTTTTATTTGGATATTTACTGGAAAAGACGTTAATGGCAATCTAACAACCAAGCTCTATGATAAACGTAAAGACCATAATTTACAATTTCTAAAACGAAGTAAATTTTTGACAAACAAGTTGATAAAACAAGACTACCTGCAGTCTCGTTTAAAGTCATCATTTCGTAAGTTCTATGGTCGATACAATGACCTTGTCAGCAAATACAATTTATCATTGAGACAAACGCCGACTGACGTTTTTCATACTAATTGTTAGTCCATTATTCATATACTGTCAGGCCTTATGTGCTCAAAGCACGAAGAGGGCTAAGTAAGTAAGTATTCATATACTGAATCGGCGTCTGATTTTCCGTTATTTCCCGATCATGAAAAGGAGCACACGACGGGTGTGACCGGTCGGCAGGGGAAGCTCACTCCTCCATGGCACCTGATCCCACCTCTGATGTTTTGGAGGTCTGTGTTTGCTCTGATCCTATTTCGTATTGTTTTTGGGACGTTTAATCTTGAAAACCTTCGTTTTCTCCATAATTCACTTGAGAAGTTTTGAATTTAGAATTATAAATTGAAGAGTTATCCTTCCTAATTGAGGATCGGAGTACCTTAAGTATTGCAAGTCAATACTTAACAATACCCTATGTGTAGGCCTAAAAGGTAAATTACTAGTATTTGTGACTGAAAACCACAATTTCTTAATCATCGTGAAAACGAACGCATGGAAACACCGGAGGACAGGTCGAATTTTTGATATAGTATGTTTCCTAAATGTAACTGCACGTAAATCAAGTTTTTACTTGTTTTATTCTTGACAAAGGATAATGCTTACACCTAAAAAACAGGGATAATACAGCTCTCCATTCGTTGGTACTGTAGTATGTAAGACCACAAAACACAGGTTAAAAACAACTTTATTTCTATTATTCAGTATAGTAATGTACTTTTTTACTTAGAACAATAAATATGCCATGTTCAAATAATGGATTTTTAGTTGGAAGAAATTTTACTTTTGGCAAATGCTATTTCTGATATTAAATTCAAAAAATATATGTTTCTGACAGATATATATTAATTAACAAAACAAACCTTGGAAAGGAAATTAATAAGTCGATTATAACTATATTTAAAGTGTATGTTAGTGTTTTCAAAGTCAAAAAGTAAAATAAATAAATCAGAATCGACTTTATAACCTGCTACGTGTACAATTTCTCAAACACATAATGGATGATTCCAACTGTTACACAGTGCCCCGGTATGGAATACTTGGAAGTTTCTGGTTTTATCCTTCTTCTAAAACCTCAACCGCAATTTGATGTTACATGTATCCCATCCGAATGGGTGATGTTTCATTTTGTATCGAGGTAATTTTTGAGGAATTAATGAATGATTTACAATAAAGAGACTTCTCAAACGAATAAATCGACAAGAAACAAGTCTTTCACAGCAAACAATGTCATTTTAATCACAGGGGTCAGTAACATGCTAAATTTGAATTTACGTAATAACTATATATACAAAAAGAGATCCCTTTAACAAAATATGAGCTTGGGATAGCTAAATTTGAGTTAGGTACCAAAATGGTAAAAAAAACTGACTCTGGAGCCATGCAATTAACAATTTAGGTAAAATGAGGTTCCAGTATTCAACACTTATTACAATTATGCCTGGACCTCTGCTTTTTTGATGTCAAAGAGTAAATAAGATTTATTTTTAAAGATAGCATTAATTGTGATGGATCAAGCACCCCTCAGGCCTCTTGGGATGGGGCAAGGACCAGGAAACTAGAAATTGTTCTTCCTCGAGCTCTATTTTTTGATAGGTGTTATATGTCAGAATATTGGTATCAATTTGCTGTTTACTGACGAACGAATAACGACAGACAAAAACAGAGAGCGAAAGAACACCCGAGTTATTGTATTAGCTGCAGAACTCTATCTATCTTTAAAAATATATTGATAGACCGGAGAGATACAGTGCCACCCATTATAAAAACTGTATATTTATTCACACAAAAAAAACTGTGCTTAGTTCTGGATTAATTTTTCCAAAGTTTCTTCATTATATTCGACAAAAAAAGAACCTAGGTATAATTGAATTGTACCTATCTTCAAATCCTTTATGGATATGTCTTAATTGAACCTATCTTCAAATAAATTGTACCTATCTTTAAATCAATTATGTCTATCTTCAAATAAATTAGAGATAGGTATAATTCAATTGTACCTAGGTATAATTATTTAGAGATAGGTATAATTATTTAATACCTATCTACAATTCAATTGTACCTATCTTCAATTCAATTGTACCTATCTTTAATTCAGTTGTACCTATCTTCTATTCATCTGAAGATAGGTACAATTATTTGAAGATAGGTTCAAATATTTTGTTCAAATATTTGAATATATGTTAATTTGGCGTTCCATATGAAGACAGGTGTAATTCCATTAAAAATAGGTATAATTCATCGTACCTAGGTCTAATTATTTAGAGATAGGTCTAATTATTTAGAGATAGGTATAATTATTTACACCTATCTTCGATTCAATTGTACCTATCTTTAATTCAATTGTATCTGTCTTCAAATGAATTGAAGAGAGGTACAATTATTTGAAGATAGATGCAATTATTTGAAGATAGGTACAAATTATATGTAATGTCTTACATTTTGTATACTTATTATTTAGAATTGCAGATTGTGCATTTTAGGTGCATAAGAAAATATGTCGAATTCTGAATGACTAAATACATTGTTCATTGTTCCAATTGTTTTTATAACCATATTCTCACGATTGAATTTCGTTGACTGACCATAAAGTCCCGTCTGCTGTTTATGTTGAAGCTAAAATCAGCTGCATTTTGTTTATTTAACTGGGAGAGCCCGCAGTTTGATATTTATTTTAATTATGAAACTATGCTGTTTCCTGTGTAGGTTTTATTATATAGTCTGTATTTTCACGCACAAATTTCATTCTTGTAAAAGACTCAGCTAGTAGTAATATCCAGACGTTTTTAAACTCAGAGAAACTGTGGCCGATCACAATGTAAGTTTTACAAGTTATCTGTTTAGTGTGTAAAGTTGCAGCTTTAAGGCTAATGTAAAGTGACATTAAATACCTTTGTAAAAGTTCATGTGTACTTTTAGCGAGTTAAGCTGTGTAATGTAATTTGTCAGCAATGTAATTTGATCTAGTTCATTCAAACATTTTGTCTTTGTAGTAAGTTTGTAGTAAGTTTGTTAATAGCATGTATTTGTATCTTTGTATTTGTTTATTTTAGCTTTTTACCACATCACAACAATCGATCAGCTTTATACTAGATCTCGTCACCTCTTGTAAACAGGGACACTTGCGCCTATTATAGGATCCGCGCCCCTACGTGTACTGTTATTATGACAATAAAGTGGTTAACTTGCTGTAATCCGTGTCTTTATAATTTCATTCAATAAAAGTTACATGGAAGGCAGTACATTATGTATTTGAATATATGTTAATTTGGCGTTCCATACATTGTACCGAATAATCTTGCAAACCAAAATGACAGTTTAAAAAAAATGGAGAAATAAATCGAGCATCAGCACACTTTTTATGTGCAATAAATATACAGTTTTTCTCAATGGGTGACACTGTAGCTCTCCGGTCTGTCAAAATATTTTTATTCAGAGAGCTACATTTCTGCAGCTAATGATTCATACATGCGAGATATGACTTTCATTACGATATATATATATTTACCATTTATTAATTAATGGTTTATCCATAGACTATGCACATTCAGATTATATATATCACATTATTTTATACATAATGCCAGAAAATTCCAAATATTAGGTTATTTCTTTAAATAAAAAATATATAATAGACTATGCACATTCAGATTATATATATCACATTATTTTATACATAATGCCAGAAAATTCCAAATATTAGGTTATTTCTTTAAATAAAAAATTTCCTTAACCCTCCCTCAATTCACAAATCTTCACTTTTGACTTTTCTTCCACAACAAAAAACTTGACACTGTTAGTTTGAATTTTTACGCACTGAGGTTGAGTGAATGCATCTAAAATCTTCAAGGTTTTTCCATCTGTCGATACAATATGAATGTTGTTGCTCTCATTTCCACACACATAGGCGTTTCCCATGTGATCGACAGCCAAACCAAATGGTGCACATAATGAAGAGTGTTTATAAGTATAAGAAATGGTACTTGTCATGTGTCTTTTCTTGATAACTGTACTTGTTTGATAAGTTGAATAAATTATGTTTCCATCTGAATCTGCAGCGACATCATCAGTATCTGCGTCTACCTCAGCTTGATCCAAATGTTCAAAATCTCCATTACAGGTCTCGATTAACGTTCTTCCCGCCAATACTATTTTATCCCCCACTTTTGTTATTCCTCTACACGAGCAGTTCACCTGGAAGGACTTTATTACAGATAAATCTTCCAGTTTCACCATTTTGACCTCCTTGGTGTCAGAAAATGTGATATAAAGAACATCAGAATTTACATACGCGTCCCACACTTCACCTGAAAACTTGGCCTCTAATTCCATTACACCTTTCTCCTTGTATAATAAGCAGCGACTGTGGTTAAAATCAATCAGGAGTAAGCGACCATCGGATAAAAAAGCGCCTCCTCTGATATCCGAATTCAACACTGTGAAGTGATTAATAACATGTAATTTAGATCGACCCACATCAATAGTTTCTGGAATGTTGATGCTTTTTTCAGCCATTTTTAGGTTTAAAAACCCTTTTAAATTGACAGTTTCATCAATGGGTGTCGCCGTTAAATCTATCTTCACAGTTTGAAGCTTAATTTTTCTTATTTCTCTAAGTTTCTCCTTCATTACATAATACTGGAGTAAGAGATCGGCATTATCCCCATTCTCTAAAGTTTCAGTCATCAGCTTCAGACAGTTTTGAACATATGCTCTCCGATTTTCGTGATCCCAGATGGAAGTCTCTAGCTTAGCCTTGCTATCTTTTGAGATTTGGGCTATTTCATTCAACTGCTTCTCCTCTAGTTTTTTAAACTGCTGCACTAACCTCTCACAAGCACTCTTGACCATATCAATATACATATCAGTTTTTTCATCAATTCCTGTAATATTCATTTTCTCCTCCTCGATAAGTTTTTCGACGGAATCACAAAAGGCCTGCATTTCTTTGACAAGTCCCTTAGCAAGTAGATTAGTTTTATAAGATTTAATAACTTCTTCTTGTATGGTGCCTATGTGATCACATGTTCTATGTAACGTGGGAACGCATAAGGCACAAGACGGTACTTGATGATCCCTGCAATAGAGTTCCAGCTTATTCTGTTCATGAGTCTTGCAAAACCTTGAAACAACTTCTGTGAGTTTAGTGGCACTTGAAATCTCACAGAGAGACACTGTGTTATGGTTGTATAAAGCGAGAAACCTTTTGTGTATTTTTGTACAGTTTTCACAGAAAGAACGCTTGCAGTCTTTGCACCAGTTAATTGCTTTCACGTCTTCTCCATCTTCAGCACATGCATCACAATTAGTAGCAGACACCTCTGATTCTTTTTCAATCAAATATTCAATAAATTGGTTTAGCGGGAAAAGTGATGCCCATTTATCTGAAGTCCACTGGCCCACTACTCCTGGAGCTGCTATGAACTCTCGACACAGAGGGCATGTAAATCCCAGGGAGGTCGCACTACTGCAGGACGATTTGATGAGTCCGTCCAGACAATTGTGGCAAAAAGTGTGGGAACAAGGCAACATCCTTGGCTTGTTGAACCTTTGGAAACATACTGGACAAACTGTTAAATAAGTCGAGGGACTGGAGTCGGCTGGTGACGCCGTGGCCATTGCCGCTTTTCTTTTGGTTTGTAATTTAAATCGAAAGTAGAAAACATCGATGGCAATACGACAGCGTGTTCGTGCCACGATCGCTTCTATTAAAGTCTATTTTAAAACATTTCTTAATACGCTATAACTATAGCGTTTCTCCTTTTACAGCAGTTAATTAATATTTTGGTAAGTAGTAGAGATAGCATAGGGTCTTGGGAGTATATCTTTGTTTGACAAATCTGCAAGAAATTAAGGAATCCAGGAAAGGTGGCTTTTTTTTGTTAGCTCACCTGAGCTGAACGTCCAAGTGAGCTTTTCTGATCAAAATTTGTCCGGCGTCTGTCTGTCCGTCTGTCTGTAAACTTTGTATTTTCTACTTTTTCTAAAAAACCGCTTGGCCAATTTCAACCAAACTTTCCATAAAGTATCCTTGGGTGAAGGAGATTCAAATTTGTTCACATGAAGGCCAATGCCCTCTTTCAAGGGGAGATACAGTTGTGATTGCAAATTAGTGAAAATTTAATGATATCTTTTAAAAATCTTCTTCTCTGGAACCACTGGGCCAGGAAAGATGAAACTCATGTGGAAGCATCCTCAAGTAGTGTAGATTCAAGTTTCTTCAAATCATGACCCCCGGGGGTAGGGTAGGGCCACAATGGCTGATCCAAGTTTAACATAGGAATATATAGGATTTTTTAAAATCTTCTTCTCCAGAAACATTGATCAAAGTTTTACATAGGAATATATAGGAAAAATCTTTAAAAATCTTCTCAAGGACCACTGGGCCAGGAAAGGTGAAACTCATGTGGAAGCAACATCAGGTAGTGTTAATTCAAGTTCTTCAAATCATGACCCCAGGGGGTAGGGCAGGGCCACAATGGCTGATCAAAGTTTTACATAGGAATCTATAGGAAATTTTATAAAAAGGAATCTTCTTCTCCAGAACCATTGAACAAAGAAAGATGAAACTCATGTGGAAGCTTATTCAGGTAGTGTAGATTTAAGTTTGTTCAAATCATGACCCCCGGGGGTAAGGCGGGGCCACAATGGCTGATCAAAGTTTTACATAGGAATATATAGGAAAAATCTTTAAAAATCTTCTCCAGAACCATTGGGTCAGTATAGATGTAACTCATGTAGAAGAATCCTCAGGTAGTGTAGATTCAAGTTTGTTCAAATCATGAGCCCCGGAGGTAGGAAAAATCTTCTCAAGATCAGCAAAGCTATGATTAGTAATATTAATATGGAAACATCCTCAGTTGGACTTAATTCAAGTTTGATATATCATGACCCCTGGGGGTAAGGTGGGGTTATCATGGGCAATCAAATCTTTACAAAGAATTATATAGGAAAAATCTTTAAAACTCTTCTTCTCAAGTATGGCGAAATTATACATGTATGCTTTATTGATATAGTGACATTCTCAAGTAATAAAAAATTCAACCCCCCTACCCCAACAAGTAAACAATACTGAGCTGATTTGTGTTTTTTTTAACTAGCCCATGTGCTCAGATGAGCAATGTGGTCCATTGGCCTCTTGTTTCTGTACACTTCTTTGAATAATGAAGAAAACTGCATTTCAAGATATTGTAGATATTTTGCTAATGATCGACACTTCTCCATAAAATAGTTTTACGAAGTTTCTCACAGCTTAGAAGCAGAGAGCTGTGCCAGGAACATGCCACCACTGGATTCCTGGGAAAAAATGAAAGAAAATGAATCAAAACCTTAAAAATTGCAATGCATTATTTCTTTATTTACTAATTAAGGTACTGTGTTAACTAAACATTTTTCATTCCTCAATACCAGCTAAAGGAGAGAAATAATCTCTTCATCTTTTTATCAGGTTAATTAGGTATTCAGTTGTGTTTATCAAGGTAAACTAACGTATGTTTTTGCAGGATGTCTTCTACTTTCCCTGTTTTGATATTGAAGATAAATACTGCCCCGTTACTGGATCCAGCCATTGCATAGGAAGCGTCTTGACTGTTAACAACAAGAAGGACATTAAGATAAAGGAAAATATTATAGTGCTTTGTATTTTTGGAAAGTAAGATATTAGCTAAATAATGTTTCCAATGTTGCTATAATATTATTTATTTATCTTTTACTTTACATAGAAATTAATTCATTTGCAATATTTATTGCACTTATAGTGTGTTTTATAAAATATCTGCTCTATGTATGAACAAGTTCTAAAATTCTAGACAAACAAGTAGATGAAAGAAGAATATCAGCTGTCTTGTTTAAAGTCATCCTTTCGAAAGTTCTATGGTCGATACAATGAACTTTACAGCAAATATAATCCATCATTAAGTCAAATTCTAACTGACGTTTTTTCAACATATTTATTTTATTATTTCCCGATAATGACCAGGAGCACACGTCGGGTGTGGCCGGTTAGCAGGGGATGCTCACTCCTCCATGGCACCTGATCCCATCTCTGATGTTTTCTCTGCTCTTGATTTGTAATTCTAATTGGTTATTGAGATTGAATATTGCTCGTGATCTCTATATATGTTGTTAAAAAAATAATAAAAGTGTAACAGTGGTGAATCCGTGTTAGTTTTTTTTTTATTATTCACATATACCTGAATACTGCTCTTGACCAATCACAGGGAACTCTAAAGTCATCATGTCTGTATTGAATTAAAACATGGATTTAATTATGTTTTATTTAACTTGATTTTATTATGTTTGATATAACTTAAGAAACAAAGGAATGGATTTACATGTAACTGGATTTCTTACTCTAGTGCTGTAACTATCTGGTTCTTTCTTAAGTCGAAGACTTCTAAAGTATCATTTCTGGTAGAACACAACAAAGTCATTTTTTCTGAAATCCAAACATATGATAAACTCAAAATTTAAAAAAACAGACGACTTAAAGTCTATATTTAAGCCTTCATCATTTAATGATATCTGATCTATAGCAAGAAATGATAACTCTTAAAATATTTTGTATTCTTGTTTTAGATACCAGTGCTTATTTCCTGGTAATATTATAAGATGAACATTAATAATAAACTTTGAAGAATTTATACCATGGGTAAATACACATTATAAATTCAGATACATGTTGATTTTATGTGGATTTTCAGAACAATAGGATCAGATTAATTACAATGAGTAGTAACTACTCTGATAAATCCTTACCTGTAGATATGTCTAGAGAAGTAACTCTTTCCTGAAGCAACACTTCGTTGGTAGGTTTGTTCGTGCGAGTGTCCCAGAATCTCAATCTGTGGTCGAAATGTCCACTGAGGATGTTCGTCCCATTCATCGTCACAAGGTCATTACAACTGGAAAGAGCGTCCATCGTGTGTATACCTTAAAATGATTGCATAATATCAAAAATCGATTTAAACTAATTTAGTTAGTAACAGCTTAATCGTTCTCAATGATGAAAAACTTTTTAAATTTTTTTAATCGGATGTAAATGATTTTTTCAGGAATTATTTTCAAAGGATGAAAGTAAGAAGTGAAATTACGTAGACTAAAACAAGCCAAAATGAGTTAAAACCAAAGAAAAATAATGCAATATGACGATAATGACGATAATCTGCAATCCTAGTACAATACTAGCTGGTAGCCAGGTACAATGTATGGGGTAAGTTAGAGTTTTGAGGGTATGCAATGATGGAACCAATCTGGAATAATAGTAAGCATTAGATACATACAAGAGCCGCGTTGTAAGTCCCATATCTTAATGGTCCTATCGTGACTTCCAGAGACAATTTTATGACTGTCTGTCAAGAATTTGGCTGCGGTCACTTCTTTATAATGTCCAGATAAAGTTTGCTGTAGCAGAAAATCAATTAATTCTGATATGTAATGTACAACTAAATCAGGAGAAAGAAAACGAAAACAAAATTACCTTGTGATAATATATGATACAGTTTAAATTTCAAATTTTGATTAATAGCAACATAAAACATCAACAGATTTAATTTGTTACATACGATTTGAAATAAATGTATAACTTCCAACATTTATAATTTTGTTGTCTTATTAATTATTGTTGTCTCTCATTAATTTTATCGAAGTGAAATTACTTTTGGATTAAACCCTCGTAATTTGTTTAAAATTTTGATATACATAATTATAAATTTTTTTTCCCAAAACAAGATACGTTTGACATGAAATGTGATTACAAATAGTATATTCTTACCTTTAGTATGAAGTCTCTGATATCCCATACTCGACTTGCACCATCTTTTGCAGCCCCAACTATAAACGTTTCCTGTAAGTATTTTATTCACTGCTTAAATGTTTGGGGATGGTGTTGGGGAGAGCTATTTACATGAAATAAAACGACGAACTTTCTTTTAGATATAAAAAAGAAATATTTATAGACCTACCATAAGGTCAAAATCTAGAGACATGATACCAGCATTGCTTCCTATTAAGGTTTCTGTACACTTCCATTTTCCTGCATTTCATTTTTATGGACAAAATGATACCAAACATTAATTTTAGTAAATTGTTAATAATAATTAATTAATATAATGTTTAAAATATAAGTATTGTATTAATTTAATATTTATTTAATTTATCTATTGCAACAGAAGAATCGACTGATACCTTCACTAGGTCGCCACAGCTTCACTGTTTTGTCTCCACCCCCTGAAGCAAATTGTAACCCTGACGGGCTCCAGCGAATGGCATTCACTTCACCATCATGAGCATCCTACAAGAAAACATCTTACAATTAAACCTGTAAAAAAGTTGATATACAGGAGTATTAAATGATAATCTGTTTTGGAAAGTAAATCCAATCTTAATTTTAAGCCAAAATTGCGATATCGGGATACTCAAATTATGGACTAAATGCATGTAAACCTACTTACAAATTCGCACTCCACCTTGTAGTATCTTGAAACTATTTGGGGCACAACTGCGGGGTCATCTTTCTGCCTATGTGTAAAGAAATACTGTTCGTAAAAATAACTTGATTTCTTACAGGTTAATCCATTCCATTTTATCCAATGATTTTTTTTTCAAATAAAAAGGTTCTTGATTAATTATTAACTATAGTTTTCATCTGTAAACTTATGTTAAACAGTTGTTAACTATAGTTTACGAATGCTTATCTAAGTTTATCTGTCTGTTGTGAAACGTTAACAATAGATTTTGTTGATAAACATAGTTTCCCGTCTGTAAACTGTTATTTACAATCGTGAACTCTAGTAAAGAGTTGTTAATCATAGTTTCACAAATCGTGAAACTATATTTATCAGATCCTAAACATTGTTAACAGTTGCAAACCATAGTTATTTACTTCGAGTAATTGGTTGTCTTTGCAGTTGTTGGTTTTGTAGTTCCTTGCGCTTTGGATGACGATGTTGATGCAGATGACATGTATGTTGGTGTCTTTGCTATTGTTGTTGTTGTTTTTGTTTCTGTCGATGAAGATGACGGGATTGATGAGGGTGATGTATGTGTCACTGTCTTTGCTGTTGTTGATTTTGTCGTTTCAGATGATGACGATGATACTGTGTATGACTTTTCTCTCAATGAACATCTATAGAAATGCTTCTCCTCTTCATTTAAATGAATTTGTTGGTCCTTCTGTTCCCTTGTTGAAAGATCATTCTATAAAATTACCATTTATCCTATACATTAACGATTTTTTTTTTTGCAAAACCGAATCAGGAAGAAAAAATGGATACACTGACATAATCAGTTTTCGACGTCTTTAAAAAGTTGAAAGGACAATTTTTGAAAGAAAAAAATTAGAAACTTCAACTTTGTTCAAATTTAACATTTCAAAAACCCTACACTTCGCGCAATGAGCAGAATTTAACAGCTAGAAAAAAGTACTTATATATGCACATTTCTAAATTTATGTTCATTTGGGTTGCCTAAACTTTAAACCATTACTTTAACTAAAGCGTAAATTTTCAGTTTGTCAGATGTATAAAAAGCACACGAAATGCTGTCTTTAGAAGCGTGAATTGCTGTTAAAATAAGAAAGAGGTACTTACCTCTGCAGATTTCAAATGCTGGAGATAAAAGAACAAAGTTTGATTCACAGAGGGTTTGATATTGCATGATGTTCACTCAACAAAAAGTAAGATATAGTAATTTGAAAGTTAATTGCATTTCTTCAGGATGCATCATTTAACCAAATTGATGAGAAGATAGACCCTTATCGTGTTCAAGTTAAAGTATGCAAAATTAATTCTGGAAAATCAGATTAAAAGAAAACCTTGAATGACATAACTAGAATTTAAGGAATAAAAGAGGAAATTAAAATGGGAGTTTAGTCAATCAAAACTGTGTTTATAGAATATCAGAAATCTTGATAACTAAAAATAGGAAACAAAGACAAAAAATATCATATAAAATTTATGCATATGAATATTATATTTCCGATTGTAAAACATAAATAGAGCAAGTTCATATTAAACTCTTCATTGTATTTTACCGTTTTCGTCTCTGTTTCTTTTGATTCTCTTTTGATGTCTTGATTGATGACATTGAATTGTCGTGATGTGGCCACCTGTGCCACATTCTCTGTTTTTTCAACCAATGCTTCTCGTTGTCGGTAAGTCGATAGGGAACCAAATAAGTCAAATCCTTCCTCTCTGTGTAGCAATCTCGGTCAAAATGTTGGAAGATAGCTCCTCCTCATCTCGGTAAAGTCGATGGATTTCGATTTCTTCAGAGAATCCGAGAGTTCCAGATTTCTAGATTTGTAATCCATTGACATGGTTACATCATTTGCAGTTAGTATCTCTGTGATGTTCTCTGTTGCTTCTTCGGCTTGTTTAATCAAGTTTTCTGTGTCCTGCTTTATTTCATTGAGAATTGTTTCATGTTTTGTTCTGTTCTTTGTTACATTGGTTTTGTATTCTGTTGTTACATGTTTGATTGCACAAATCCACTCTTCTTCTTGTTTTGCGATGGAATTCATAACCTTCTCATAGTCACCCTCTAAATTGGATATCTCTTTTTCTATTTCAGTCACAAACGCATTACATTGTGGAATCAAAGAATTTTGGACTTCGTCCTTATCCTCCATTATGGAGGTTGTTTGGGACTGGAAGAGAGGAAGAACCTTCTCAATCTTGTGACCTTTGTGCTCTTGTGACAAATTGCAGGTCAAACAGATAGAGTCACGACAAGGTTCACAGAACAATTCACATTTCTCGTCGCAATGGAGTTTGCATTTTTGATACTTGGGGTACCTTGTTCGATCTACAAACGGGACGATATAATGTCCATCAGGAACGTCATTTGCGCAGTGATCGTTCACACCGCTCCAACATAACTTAGTTTGACACGTTCCGCAGTACATATGATCTAAGTCAGACAAATTACACACTTTACAAGGTGTCCTGTTTTCAGAAATTTGTTTGTCCATCATGGACCTAAAAAAAAAAATCATTTGATTTAAATGTATAATATTACTTGTTCAAGTATTTTCAAAGGCAACGTTTTCAAAAATGTTAAATAAATTTTATAATTTCAAATTATGTGATTTATTCGTCACAGAAAAACTACTGCGTATATGTTGCAAATGAGCCAGAAATTACCTTTTACTTTCAGCATTCTGTGTCAAAAGGAGACTTACCTTCAAATTCTTGCTTTGTTAATACGATTGTAGTACATTATTTTTGTTTTTCTTAAATATTGATGTTGAAGTATGTCTACTTTCGATATCGCCACATACTTGTTGCTTGACTAGCATACTGGTAACGTTATCAACAAGTATGCGCAATTTAAACCTCACGATTGAAGTGTTTTTGTGGCTTTTATAGTTTGATTATAAGGTAAATATATTTTCTCTTTTGTTTATCTATACAATGTCAAAAGGATGCAACTTCACCCTTATTATCAAACTGGAACAGAGGAAGCAATTTTAAAGGGAGGTGTTGCACTCTTATGAAATAAATTTAAAAATTGCCATACGTCTTTATTGAGGGACACAACTTTAAATCAGTTTTATTTTCTTTTGTTTGGTATAATTGCCAGTGTATTAAGCAAAATTATTGGGGTGCCCACTTTACACGCCTTGGTTCCTATTAGGAAGGTACACTCAAGTCTCAATTTCAGCGTTAACTTTGTGTAGTTATAGACCCAACATTTGACATAAAAAAAAATAAATTGTAATCTGCACTTTATGACATAATTTATATAATATAAAGAAATTATTTTAAAATAAATCCAAGTATTCTAAACATTATATCAAGCCAAAATAAAATAGCTGAAAACTTTAATTGCATGATTGTTTTTCTCCATTTGAGCAAGCTTTAGTGGGGTGCTAACTTCAGCTTATTTTAGCGGTTTGTTGTAGAATTTCTACTTTTAATTATCATTACTAAATACAAGAAAAAATCTCTTCAATAACTTGGATAAGTCTGCTGTTTAAGCAATATAAAAGAAATATACATGTATTTAACTTCCATCTGGTATTTCAAACTTTTGTGTAAATTGGTATTCAAACGTACAATAAAAAATGAAACTTATTGAAAATCCTTTCTTTTGCAATATTACGAAACTCTGTATCCACCAAAAAAGTTCCGTGAAAATTGGAGAACAAAGATAGGTAAATAAATATGAACTGCTTTAACTTAGCAGTTTTCTTTTGGGTCTAACATGAACGCCATTAGAATAATTTGACTGGTCAGGTGAATATGTGAGTTTGCCTTTAATACACATGTGTATAGTATACTGCATTTGGAAATATCTCTATGAATATGCACATTATTTTATTCCAATAGTAAAAAATACTTCTAGACGATAAAGGACATCTTTGAAAGCCCTCAAACTAGTTTTTATTTAAGTTCACTTTAAGCTTGAGAAAAAAGAAATTACATGTATTCCAAGATCATATCGTCGGAATCCTGAATAATTTGTTAGAATCAAGTTGATTCCGAAGAAACTATAAGGTGTTTCTTTATCAACCTTGCAAGTAGGATCCAAAACACGGACGAGACTTGCTTAGGCCCTGCATTTGTTCTACATTTTGTGAATGAATGACCAGGTTTAAGTTTAAGGGGCAGGCATTTCCTGATTGATATAAGGTCTATCCGTACAAAATTTGCATAACAGGTGCATCGATGGATGCACCCATCTTGACTTCAATCCAACCTATTTTTGTACGAGTTTACTAGATTAAAGATTCTGAAAAAGGTCTTCAATTCTGAAGCTGCTATAAGTAATAGTTGGACTAAACTTGCATAAATGATACTTTAAGCATACCGATAATGGAACTTGATGATGATGGAGCATGTCCATTCCGGTTATGGAGGAGGTCCATTTGGATGCAAGCAGAAGCCTTGTCCAGGCAAAAAAAGCATGGATAATGAAGCTAAGAATAATGTGACCGGTCAGCAGGGGATTCTCACTCCTCCATGGCACCTGATCTCACCTCTGATGTTTAGAGGTCTGTGTTTGCTCTGTTCCTATTTTGTATTGTTTTATGGACTTTGATTTTGAATACTGCTGTTTGTTATCTCCATATCCTCCATGTAATCATTGTGAAGAAAGTCCACTCAAAAATAGCTTTAAGTTCTAACTGGACCTCTGCCGTGAAAATATTCCCTTTCAGAGTTTCTTCAAATGCTTCTATTTTTCAATTTTTAAAAAAAGGTTCAAGTTCTCAAACAGATCCATTCCGAAGTAGTTATTATACCTACTTAAAGCTGACATGAACTCTTAAAAAGGCATCAATTTTCATCTTTGTACGACTTACTACATTCCTGTACGCCCTTGTCCGACATATTTCTTCGATTCCGCCATATTTAAAGCTGACATGAACTCTTAAAAAGGCATCAATTTTCATCTTTGTACGACTTACTACATTCCTGTACGCCCTTGTCCGACATATTTCTTCGATTCCGCCATATTTAATCGAAGATTTTTGGCCACCTGTACCTGCTATATATAGCCTTGTAGAATTGTTTCACTTGAGTGATTTTGTAGTCTGGCTGTCGACATGTACACATCTCCGATAGCATAGTTTTTAGAAGTCCATAAACTGACCAAATACATGTTTGAAAAGTAAAAATTCAACAAAAAATAGAACTACCCGAGAATTAAATTATTTTGAATGCATTTGCTGCAATATAAAAACTACACTAACACGGAATACATTTATGTACAGCAAAAATCCATGCAGGTCGAGAAAACGCGTCAAACGCAGTGATAAAACGTTTACCTGAATACTGCTATCGTTACAGGGATGTGCACATGTCGAAAGAATTATCCTATTTTACTTTTATTGAAAAATGCATCTCAGAAGTCATGTAATCCATTGCTAACTCAACAGTAAAAGATGCTTGGACACACGTGGCCCATGCCGATCACTTTATTTGGTCAGGGAAAATATCAAAGGTTGAAAGCTCAGTGGGGTTGATTGAAAAAAAAATGCAAGTAATTTTTTCAAAAATAAACATTACTCTTGTCTGTACATGTTGTAAATAAAATTTACGATTAAGCACATGGTTTAACTTCATCAAATTCATAAAAAAAAGCAGGCATTATTACGAATCATTCACCTTTTGAAGATATTTTCCCGTGATATGAGTGGGGGTGTGTGTCATAAAACATGCATAACACTCTCATAAAAATAATGTAAGAAAAACGTCTGAAACAGATTGGATTTCTTTATGATCAATTATTATCAAATAAATACTGTGTATTGGCTTTATTAGACCTAATATAATTTGATTTTAAAGTTATTTATACTTTTATGCACTATGAAAGAAAAAGTGAGCACGTTCACATACTCCAAAAGTTGAAGTGCTGAAATTCCCAGAAAAAAATAAAGGAATCGTGATTTCCTTGTAATATGCACATCTATACACATTGTGTCCTAAATATCTGCAAAGTTTGACAAAATTGTGTGCAGCGGTTTATGAGAAGTTGCGCTGACAAACTGCTCACCTCTATATTCAAGATATGGCCAAAATCTAAATGTAAAAGTGCGGAAATTCCCGAAAAATAAAGAATTCGGAATTTCCTTGTGATGTGCAAATCTACACACACATTGTCTCCAATAAATATATGCAAAGTTCGACAAAACTCTGTGCAGTGGTTTATGAGAAGTTGCGTTGACCCCCTCCCCCCCCAAAAAAAGACTGACTGATGGGTCAAAAACATTATACCTCACGCCTGGGGTATAATAAACGAGTTTGATTCTTTGGTAAATTTAATGTGAATTAAATTTCTAGACATAAATAATTAATGATTATTAGAAAAAGCATATAGAAAGAGAAAGTAAACTCCTCGTGAGAATTCCACATTCTACCTAAAATTAGCTTTTTAAAAATTCTCTTGTGTGTTGTCCAAGTTCGACACATACTTTTGAGAAAGTATTCGAGAAAGTTCCCAATGTTCCCATTCCTGTGATGTATATTTCACGTTTATTATATCCTCCGCCTGAAAAGTGGGAAGTTATATAGTAATCGTTATGTCCGTTCGTCTGTCTGTTACGCTGAACGGGGTTCCCATTTCTTATCCGCAAATCCTCTTATACCACTTAGAGAAATTTAATGAAACTTTCAAAGAATCTTAAGTTTATTACATATTACCATTATGCACCTCCTATTTTACTTTTTGATCTGACACGCATGGGTTTAGCGAAATATGGACTTTGCATTTAAACCATATGAGAGGCAGGGGGTATCATTGAGTGAGCTCAGTGCTCATAATACACGTACGTCTAGTTTCTCTTTCAATTTGGGCGTTTGGGTTAATTTCCTGTCCAAAGTAAAATTATTATTCAATTTATGAAGTTTCGACATCCCGCCTGAAAAAAATCCTTGATCTGTCCTAAGGCATAATAAATGGTACAGCACAAAGTGCGTAGGATTTATACCTATCATTGCCCCAACGGGTGGTTACAGAGAGAGAGAGAGAGAGAGAGAGAGAGAGAGAGAGAGAGTTCAATATACAAAAGAATAAATAATAATTATCCGTATTCAACCAGTGTCAAGTATCCCTACCCTAGCTTTTAAAATTATCTCCGAAATTCACCTACAGAAATTATTTATATGTATAAAAAAATACTATCAGGCAGGGATACTGAAATCTCGAAATACTTCCTGTAACAACATAATTATAAAACCAGTTACATTCCTCAAAATGCACATACTTTGTGTTCAGAGTGACACATTTTAAAAAAATCTCAAAACTGAATTCGGCAGAAATGTCTGTCTTCCAAGAATATTTAAATAACGGTCATGTCGATTATTTTTGTATGCCCCCCCCCCCCCGGTCCAAAAAATCAATTGCCTAAATGTCAATCTGAACAGGGGATGGCCTTTCTCCGTGTGTGTATGTGTTAAAGAATGTATAGATGTAAACATAAAAATTTCTATTCTGGTTAATTGCTTATAAGATTTGAAGTAAATTATTGCCGTACATCAAATTACTTGGTTTAGATTTGAGATTAGTACTAAAATAATCAGTTATAATTGACAAATGAATTTTGCGACGCAAACCAACTGCAGACTATATACATTACTTAGTATAGAATATATATTAGAACTACATATAGATGGACAATTCACAATTATACATGTAGCTTACGAACAGCAGTTATAATATCCTCCCCCCTTTCAGCCGCGCAAATACCAAATAGCTTCTCTTTCCACTTTTGATATTTTCCCTGACCAAAATCTGATCAGCACGGACTAATGTATCGTCGTGCTAGTGTGTACGGAGTAATGACAGTGTGTTTACTATTGAGCTTTTATGGAGTTTTTTTGTGATACATATTTCAATAAATGGAATTCAGGGTATATATCACTTGACTTGTGCACATCTTCGAACCGATGCAGTAACCTTATTACCAGGTATGGGTACGTTTAGAGCGTTCGAGGCGTTTTCTCGATATGCATCAAT